CTGAGCTAAATCCCCAGCCCCGTAAGTTTTTTTTAATGCATTGATTTAAATTGGAATAGTTGATTTTAAGAAAAGTATCAATATATGCAGAATGTGGACCCGGCAAAAAAATCACAAAAGTACCACAGTACACTGATATGTGAAGTCAGGAAGCACTCAAGGGGGACACTGGGACATTGGTTCAGTCTAGGGAGAACTTTCTACTCACCCACGTTGTAGGATGGAAAAGGCTGTGTGCTTCCCCGTCACTGGGTGTGCAGAGGGCCCCCCCAGGCCCTCATTCAGGGGTCTGCTGGGGGGGATTCAGGTGGAAGATGTGACCCCTGGCTGCATGTTTCTTGGCTCTACACCCAGGCTTTCCTTCGCTTCCGGCCTCATGAATGTGACCTGGACATCCCCAGTGGGCCTGCGGTGCAGTACTGTAGCCTGGCCAGAGACCTCCAGCGTGAGGCCTTCCTGGAGTTTGTGAGTAGGACTTCTCCTTCCTTCTTTCTGCATCAGGCGGATGGCAGAGCCTACAAGAGTAATATTTAGAAGCCAGGCACTTTATGCAGTTGTCACATCTGTAACCACTTTGGGTAGGAGTTGGTATTAGTGCAGGGGAGGGGTTGGAATGAGTGTATTTTCTGATAAAAATAGCCCCACCAGTGTTTATTGAATCACATTCCTCTGCCAGGTACTGTGCTAAGCCCTTTACATTCTTCACCTCATTACTCCTTGCTACATGCCTTTGGGGAGCTCCTGTTATAGCTCCGTTCTGCAGAGGGAGCTTGAGGCTCAGAGAATGTGACCTCCTGAACGCTTTATACAGAAGGTCAGTGGTCCACAGAGGGCTGACTCCCAGCCTATGCTTTTGACCGCCACTCTATGAAGAATCTTTCTCAAGATCTTTGCCCCTGTGCTGTAGTTGTAGCTCAGTGGTAGAGCATTTCCTAGCATGGCTGAGGCCTTGGGTTCAATCCCTAACACCTCTGAAAGAATAAGATAACAAGATTTTTGCATATTACTGATACTAAGAAGTGGCATAATTGAGTACCTACTTTGTGCCAGGCACTCTTGGTAAGCTTATTGCAAGCCATCCATGTTTTTTGGACCAGAAGATGGAGGCCTGCAGAGGTGAGATAACATGCTACAGGTCACGTCCAGTTAGTGGAGCGGGGCCTGGAGCAGAGGCAGCCTGCCTCCAATGCCACTTCTCCCAGTCCTGCCCTCTGCCACCTCCTTTCCCAGCTCCCACGCTCCCCTCTTCCCACAGAAGCAGCGGCTAGAAGGCCTGGTGTGTCAGCCACTGGACAGCCTGGCCAAAGCCCTGGTTGGCCCTCAGAACCTGATCAAGAAGCGTCTAGATAAACTCTTGGACTTCAAGAGGCTGGAAGAGAAGCTGCTAGAGGTGGGCAGTGTGACCTACGAGGAGGAGGCAGCCCGGCACACGTACCAGGCCCTGAACTCCCTGTTAGTGGCTGAGCTCCCGCAGTTCAACCGACTGGTGGTGCAGTGGCTGAGCCAGATCCTGCGCACTTTCGTGGCCCTGCAGAGGGACCTTGCAAAGCAAGTGCTACAGAGGGCAGAGGGCAGCATAGCCCAGGTAAGGCAGCTGGGACTGTGGCATCTCTGGGGCTTGGCCAGGCAGGGCCTCAGCCCCTTCGGGCTGGTGTGTGCAGCAGTGGGAGGTTGGGCGGTTGAGCCTTCCAGACATGCTATCCCGTGTCTACGAAGAGGTAGTGATGAGGGGCTTCTTTGCCCCCCTTTAGTGAAGTTGGACCGTAAAAACTAGGGTAAGACGGACTCCAGGACCTGCCAAGTTCTGGGACTCAGGAGCACAGGAGGCTTTGCTGGGAGAACAGCAGACCTGGAACCCCTCCCTAGAAGATCCTGCGAGGTGGTGACAGAGGTGCATTTCTGCACAGGAGTACAGTCAGTGTCTCAGTCTGGTGTTACTTCTGCTGCTTCTGGCAGCCACCTCCTCCTGAGCATAGTTACGTGCCTGTTTGGAGCACTTCCTATGCAATTATTTTACTTACTCTTCACCACAACCTTGCAAAGCGGGTAATACTGTCATCCTCACTGCAAACATAAGAAGCCAAAACAAAGCTCGGAGAGGCAGAGTGGCCTATGGAGGGCCACACAGCTGGTCGTGGATTTTGAACCTGGCCCATTCAATTCCAGAGCCTGGGTTCTGATGAGAATCCTCAACAGCATGTAAAAGGAGCCATCAGCCAAAAGCCTAAATAAATTCCAGAGAGCTTTGGACAAACCCCCAAATGCCCACTCGCAGTTTAGAATTTTGAAGGTTAGAGTTGATACAAGAAGGAACACCTGGCCTCTTGCTTTTTGTTCTGTGATGCCAGCGTCCCAGTGGAATGGCTCAGGCGTAGGGCTTGGGGAGCAATTTCAGTGCACCTCATCCCACCTGCTGTCTCCTGTGTTTCTCGTCCCTGCACTCAGCTGCAGCCACCCAATGCTTCTGGTGGAATTTCCTGCAGGCTTTGCCTGCCTGGCCTTCTTGCCTTTCCAACCTGCAGCTGCTCCCTGCCCGCAGCCCCTCCCTCTGGCACACCGTTTCTGAGGGTAACCTCGTCCCCTTTGCATGCACGGATCCCTCCTAGCCTGAAATGCCTCCCAGCCCGTTCGGGGTCTGGTGTAGTCTAGCAGAGGAATGCGTCTTTCCGTGACGGTTTCTGAACTCCCCTTCTAGGGTAGGGGCGCAGGAGAGCCCATCTGCCCATCATCTGCACTCCCGCAGCCCTCGGCATGAAGTGCTTGGTGCTGGCCAGAGCCTGCTCTCTCCAGAGCGCTGGAGCAGAGGTTTCTTCTCAGCCACAGGAGGGCTGAACCTGAGCCTTCCTTCTTTGCCCTCCCAGCACTGAATGCAGATTTCTGTCTGAGACACTCATTTCAAGCTGAATTATGCCTGAGCTTCTCTTTCCCAGCGGCAGACGAGTGAATCTGACTAGGTGATCTTTCACATTCCCCCGCCCGGAGTGTGTGCTGGGACACACAGGGCGAGGGGTGCCATCGGGGGAAGGTGCAGTTTACAAGGGCAGAAAGTGAAGGTCCTGATGGTCCTGTCCTGTGCCCTTCAGAGCCTGGTGGGGACTGGGGCTAGCTGACCCTGTCTGTGCCCAGTGGTCCATTCCCTGGGACCCATCCCTGTGGCACTAGGGAAAGACCTGCCCGCCAGGAACTTCCATCTCTCTGCAGCCTGGGGAGAGTGGCTCTGGGTCAGAACTAAGGAAGAAGTTCGGTGACAACTCAAGAAGTTGGACGTGTCTGTTTAGCAGTGAAGTTGGATAGGTCTCATTTACTCCTGGGCTCCGGGAGGAGGACTCAGGAGATCTTTTAACAGGGTCAAGGTCTCAGGACAGAGAGTTACTGAGAACTCCTTGGGTTACAGAAGTGTTATAGAAGTTACAGAAAAAGTTACAGAAATGCAAAACAAACCAGCTGGAGCATGAAGAAGAATGTACTGGTCCGCATAGCAGGAGGTCAGGAGAGGCATGTGACTGAGGCACGGCCTCTAGCAGGATGGACAACATTGCCAAGACTCTGGTTTGGTTTTTTTTTTTTTTTTTTTTGAGACAGAGCTCACTATGTAGTTCAGATTGGCCTGGAACTCACTAGGTTGCTGAAGTTAGCCTTAAATTTGCAAAGATCCTCCTGCCTCAGCCTCCCACATGCTGAGATTAAAGGCGTGCACCACCATGCCTAGCTTTGGGACTTGGGCTCTAATTTTGTCTCTTGGCTCTGCTTCTCCCTCCTGCTTGGCTTCTTTTCTACCAGGCATTAGTTCTGCACAGAGAGAAGGATGGCTAGGGAGAGCTGCAGGTGTGCACTCCCCCTCCTATATTGCAAAGGAAGAGTCACAGGGTCTCAGCCTTCACACACTAGCTGTGATGAGTGGGTCACCGTTGGCCTTGCCTGGGTCCTATGTATGGTCACTTGGTTAGGAGAGAGCGATAACAGGGCTACCAGCCCCACAGATATAGCACCATGGCAGGCAGTAGTACTGGACTCCCACAGGGGACACTTTCTTGTAGGGAAGTGGGCAGACAAAAATGACAGCTGACTGCAACAGAAATAGCCAGTGTACCCTCTGGAGCTGCAGTTCTGGTGGCCAGGGACTCCCTGCCTCCTGTTGACGTGTCTGTCCCACACAGCTGCCCCATCACCACATGGCGGAGCCGGCCTTCAGGAAGCTGGTGGAGGACACGCTAGGCCAAACCGGTAGCCAGCTTCGTTCCTTTCAAGAGAACTTCGAGAAAGTGCTGCCGCCTCCCTCCTCACAAGTAAGTGTCCCCCTCCCCCGTGACTGTCTGGTTCTTCGCCTGCCAGTGGGGTGAGCCTCGGCCCCTCTGCTCTCCTTTCTCTCGCTCCTGTATCATCTGCTACTCGTGGAGACGTTTTCTCTTCTCCTCTGTCCTTTCCGCAAGCTGGGGTTGTGTGAGATGACAATTCCACCCCTGCCGCTTCCTGGTCAGTAAGCACAGACAGTACGGAACTCTTGGCTCAAGAAAGGAAAGCCCAAATATTTCATTGTTAAAGTGAAATTAGTCAAAAGGGTGGGCAAGTGCTATGGACATCCAAAAATGTGGAACTGCCTCAAATTTTTCATCAAAATATTTCCTTTTCCCTCTACCTTCCACTGCTACTGTCAATATCATCATTCAAAATAAATAAACACTTTGACTACAGTCATTTAAATTTTCCTTTTGATATGGTATTTTTACATCTCAAATGACACTGTAGCACCTGCATGATGGTTTACAGATCTTTGGCTCCCCAAATTTTTTTAAAGTATTTTCCTTTAAAACGCTGTATAAAGAAGCAGTGGAGGCTCATATTCGTAATACCAGCCCTGAGGAGGCTGAGGCAGGAAGATTGCTGTAAGTTTAAGGCCAGCCTGGGCTACAAAGTGAGCTCAAGGCCAGCCTGAACTGCATAGTGAGACCCTGTCTCAAAAAGACAGAAACACAAAAACAAAACAAAACAAAAACAAAAAGACAAAATACTGTATAAGGAAAGAGCATGTTCCAGTCTACCCAAAGAGGACACCTGGGTGGTACGTGATTTTGGGTTTTGAGGGGGTTTAGGGGGGCGACGTGGCTTTTTGTTCTGGTATTGGGTATTAAACCCAGGGCTACTTCTTTAGCTATTTTTAAAAATTTTTATTTTCAGAAAAGGCCTTGCTAAATTTGAGGCTGGCCTCCAACTTGAGATCCTACTGCCTCAGCTTCCTGAGTCTCTAGGATTGCAAGCATGTACCACTATACCCAGCTTGCGTGCTGTAAAAATAACCAAAGCAGTGTTTGGGGGGCAGGGAGAGAGCGTCCCAGAGTGACAGTTCTGGATTTGAGAAGAATGTTTGCTCACATGTGAAATGTGAAATGTGAAGTGAACAGTCTGAGGGTCCCCAGAAGGGGGAAGAGAGCCCAGGACACAGAGAAATAAGCATGGGCCAGCAGAGCAGGCAAATAAAGGTGGCCTTCATACCTGGCCAGAGAGCACAGAAGGGAAGATAAACGTCGCCACAAAGGGGGAAGGGGTGACTCCTGGCCTCCTCTTCTGCCCTGCCTTCCATACAGGCTATGCCTGCGGGTCCCTGGGGAGGTGCCCCTGCAACTGGAGGAAAAGGGGAGGGGCATAAAATAAAGAGTAGCAGACACACACACACACACACACACACACACACGTGCCAGGAACTTCTCTGTCTTCGTACTCGAATTATAACAACACTTTTCTTACTGGAAAAGCCATCCGTCCTTACTGTAGAAAAAATGAGACAGAAAAACAAACAAGAGAAACAAATGGAAGCACCCAAACCCCTGCTGTTGCCGCCACCCCCTCACAGAGCTGTGACTCCCTGGCTGATCCAGCCCGTGGAGGAGCAGTCCTAGTGGCCTCCAAGGCAGGTGACAGACGAAGCAGCCAGCTGTCTCCCGCCTCATGGCGCTCACGCTGACTGTACCAGCACCACTCAGAAAACCCTTCCGGCCCCAGCCCTACACTTCTGTTCAAGGACTTGCTTGGGAACCCTGGGCTGGCTTGATTTTTAGTTCCTTGTTTGTGTTTTTGTTTGTTTGATTTTGTGGTGCTGGGATTCAAACCCAGGGTCTTGCACCTGCTAGGTAGGGGCTCTACCACCAAGCTATATTTCCAGCCTTGCCCTGATTCTTAACCCTGATTTTTGCTAAGGATATGGCAAATCTTTGCCCACATATTCCTGATAGGCCCCCTACCTGCTCCATACCGAACATTGCCCCCCAACAAAATAACTGTACAGAACATGGTAAATAAACACGCATACACTGTATGCATATATATAAATAAGAATTGAATAATTATATATATTTAACACATTTAGTTCCTTATTGGTTTTACAAAGAGGGGGCAACCACCCCTTTGAGTCTCTTTTCGCTGATGTTTTTGTTGGAAACTGTGAATGGAAAACAAAGGAAATGTCAGGAGAGTTTTAGATAAGCCGAAAGTGTCCTGATTCACTCTCCCCAGCTAGACCACAGTTCTCATCTGAGCAGCAGCTCTCCTGCATTTCTGCTGCATCACTCACAGAGCGGATGCCGAGCCTGGTACCTGGCAGATGCTCAGTGCATACGTGGGGGCTGGAGCTCACAGGCAGCATGCCCTCTCCCAGGTGCAGTCCCTTGCCAGCTGGGGAAGGCCTGGTGCTCCCATGGATTGCACACTGTAGAAAGCCTGAGAGACCTGTGTGGGCATTTTCCTCTGGGATAATTTAGCTTGTTTTTAGAGGCAGAAGGCAGGACCCAAATCCAAGAGTTCTCTAACTGAACCAGAATTAGTATTTTAGAGAATCCCGGATGATAGATGTCTCTTCTCAAATGTCTTTGGATGCTAAGACCCAGCCATGCCCTAGTGAGGGATGGCTGCCCCAGTCTAGATGGGCCCTGCAGGAGTGGGGAGGCGTCAGCAGGACTCCTGGATCTCAGCACGCATTGGCACCGGCCTGACTCTTAATGCAAGCTCCTGTGTCTGTCTCTGCTCTCCCTTCCTCAGCCACTCCTCCCCGGCTCTGAGCACCAGGTGCAGGCTCTTCTGAGCAAGTACGGCCCCGGGAAGCTTTACCAGGTGACGAGCAACATCAGCGGGGCAGGGACTCTGGACCTGACACTGCCACGGCGCCAAGTCGTGGCCCTCCTTCAAAACAAGGACACCAAAGGCCACAGCAGCCGCTGGCTGGTGGACACAGGAGGTATGTGGGCCTGTGGGGGCCCTTCCTCTCTTTCTGGGAAAGCCACCCCCACCGAAGCTGGTGAGGAGACGGGGCACTTTCGTGGGCCAAGCTTGCTGTGAAAATCCAGGGTGGGAACGAGCACAGGTGACAGACGCAGGGCTCAGGCACAGGAAGCTGAGTGTGACTTTGTGCTGTGTGGATGCGGAAAAGAGGAACTCATGTTCCACTGCAGCAGCCTTCGTCACCACCTCTGTGCTGGGTGCCATGGAAATAAGACAGAGCCTTGCTTTGCGGACCTCACAGACTGTCGGGAGGGACGGATGTACAAAGAGAATGTCAGCAGCAACCTGAAAGACAGAGGCATGCCCAGAGAAGGGACACTTGGTCCTCGCTAAACCGGGGGGTGTTGGATGCCCACAGTGAAGGCAGAGAGGGGCGTGTCCTTCCCTCCTGGTCATGGCCTTGGGCCTTGGGGTTGCTGCTTGGGTCCAGGTGCCCCTGTGTAACCAGGCTGAAGGCAAGTGGCGCCAGGAATCTGGGATGACTAAATGGCCTTATTAGGCCTGCTCCAGACATAGACGTGCGGCTGGCAAGTTGAGGGTTGCCCAGGATTATTGTTAGGGAGCCTACAGGCAGTTGTGTTCTCCTTCAGATGGTTTATTATCACTGCAAGTTATTTTCATGTGTATTTGAAAAAAATAACTAAACCATAAGCCCATAATTGTATTCAAGTTATTATACAGTTCAAGGTCAAGTTTTAAAAAGTCAGTCAATTTTAAAATTTAAGAAAGTGATACAAACAGGCAGAAATCATAAAAGAGCACTCTGATGACTTAAGTGGGGAAATAATGGAAGGAGTATTAAAGCAAGGAGGCCCCGGGGAGCCTGAGGACTGGTTTGGATCCCAGCTTGGCCGCGTTCCTAACTGTGATTGCGGGAAGTCATGGAGCTTCTCTGAGCTCAGCTGGCCCCGCCTAAGATGGAGCCAACAATGCCAGCCGACCTCAGGAACTGTGATGACCATGGCATCACTTGTTGGGCCCGGCACCTAGCAAGCCCTGGGGAGTGATGGCCATTCATGGTGACAGCAGTCGGAACAGCGCTGGATGTGTGAGAAGGAACAGGGACACCCGGGGAGGAACAAGGTCTCTGCCCATGGGGAAAGGCTTTTCTGGGGAGGGGAAGCAGCCTTGCTCTGCCAGCACCCAAAGCAGATTTCCTACCCGTCTTTGTTTGTTTTAGAGATGTTTAAAATGAAGAGGGCTTGGGGACATAGCTCAGCAGCACCGGGCCTGCCTGGCAAGTGCAAGGTCTTGAGTTTAATTCCTGGTACCAATAAATAGATAAATGAAATAAAATGCAGTGGGTTGCCCAAGTAGGGAACGAGCCTCTTGTTGCTGGAGGTGAGCAAACAGAAGCTAGGAACAGTGAGCGCAGAGAGGGAAGGCCTGCCTGGTCCTTACGAGTGCAGAGCGGCTGAGTTGGAAGCATTCACTGCCGCTGACTTTCCCCACCACTGTGATGGATGGGCAGGCGTCTTGCAACCAGATGACCCTCTGCTCATTCCCTAGGACATCGGGGCTATGTGCCAGCTGGGAAGCTGCAGTTTTACCACGTCATTCCCAATGAGGAGCTCAGAGGACAGGCGAGGCAGCGGCGGGACTCCCACCATCTGGCACCAGAGCCTGCCCCAACCCCAATGCCCTCTGTCCCTGCTGTGACCCAGGTGAGTCTGGGAGTTTGCCTCCCTCAGCCACTCAGACTGGGGCTTGGAGTTTCATCTTTGTCCAAGTCCATGCTCCTCATGTCTGGAGGGGTCACCACCCTGTAAGACCAGGGTCTTGATCAGGGACAGTGTCTATATCTTGGGCAAGGGTGGGACCTGGAGAGAGGGGCCTCTATCCCTGCCACATTGTTAGCAGAGAGCTAGCCCCTTGTCCCCCACCACGGGGCAAGCAGAAGTCATGCGTGCGTGCACGCATTTGTGCATCCATTCATTCGTGAATAGTTGCCAAGTATGGCACAAAGTGAAAGATACCATGATGAACAAAAGTAAGTCATAGCCTTTGCCCTCCTCATGCTTATAATCTAGGGGAAAGCAGTAATTGGTAAAATAAGTGCATGAGCATCTGTAGTTATTAGGACAGATAAGTACGACAGCCTGAGATGTAGAGGGGTTTTTCTGGGAAGAATGATGTTTTTTCCTAGGCAGGAAAGGTGAGTAGGGGATGTACCAGGGTACAGGTAGCAGGAGCTCTCCAGAAAGCACACACAGCACGTGCAAATGCCCAGTGACAGAGGGGACAGGCACAGATGTATGTGGAACTGAATGAGCCCAGTGGGTGGGAGAAGACAGAGGGGCAGGGTGAAGCAAGATGCTGCTGATGAGGTGGGCAGGGACAGGCCAGCAGGGCCCTCTGGCCTTGGAAGGGTATCAGTCTTTCTTCTAAAAGCAGTGGGAAACATGTACACTCATGTTTGTGGCAGAATTATTCAAGAGAACCCAAAAACAGAAACAACCCAAGCATCCATGAGTAGGAATGGATAAGCTAAACATACACATGTGGTGGAGTATTATTCTGTCACAATCAGAAGAATAAAGCACTGATACATGCTACCACCTGGATGAAGCCTTGAGCACACAATGCTCAGTGAAAGAGCTGGGCACAGAAGTCAGGCAGATCATGGGTTCTGCTTACGTACATGTCCAGAACAGGCATGTCCACAGAAAGATGAAGTGGGTTGGAGGCCGAGGGGGAGGGAAGAAGGATGACTGCTGTCTGGTATGGGTTTTTTTCTTGGAGTGATGAAAATGTTCTGAAATGAGATAGAGGTTACACACATCAGTGAATATACTAACAATGTTAGAGTATTGAAATTATATCCAGAGAGAGAGAGAGAGAGGATGGGAAGCCGCTGCAGGGTTTGCCTCTGGAGGGACAGAGTCCTGGAGGGTAGAAGTAGCTCAGCAGAGTAGTTGTGAGGATGGGAAGAGCCGGTAAAGCCAGGCAGGCGTACTGGGAACTCCCTAAATGGAGGCTACACTCCCATAATCAGCACACTGGGAGCGCATCACAGGTGCGGGATGACCAACAGAAAGGCTCTGGACGGCAAGGGGCCAGAGCCCAGAGGCCCTGAGGGTAGGCCACAGGGGGGCGGTGCTGGGCCTGGACACAAAGGCTGCATAGACACCTATGGAAGGTACGCCCCCCGCGAGGGCACCAGGGCCAAGACCCTCAGGCCAGAAGTAGTGCACCAGGGGCTGCAGAGGACACCTAAACGTCCAACTCCATGGCCTGATCATTCAACTCAGCCTGGGCCCCACCCCTGTGGGGAAGGCACTGAGGTTGCCACTGCCCCCAGCTCCTCCACTGTGGGTTGTTAACGTGGGCGAGCTCAGAGGTCCCTCTACCTGAACATAGCAGCTTTCTCTGCTGCTGGGATCCTCCGTGCAGCTGCTGTTCCTAAAGCTTTACCCTCTATAATAACAGTAACAGTAAACAGTTAAAGTGACCTCCACTCCTTAGGCTATTACTGTGTGTCAGGCACTCTGTGAAGCCCCCTATATTTGTTCATTCATTCACTCATTCACTCATTTATTCATTCAATTTCCTTAATGACCTAGAGGGTGGAATAGCATTATTCCCATTTTGTACATGTTGCAACTGAGGCCCAGAGAGGTTAAAGAGTAGCTTAATAAATGCTCTCCCCTCCATTTTTTCTCCATTTCAGTGCTTTTCCCTAAAAATTAACCAAGTTATCCAAACACCTGGTTCTGCTCCAAGCTGGGAAACTGGCCTGAATTGATGGAACCTTTACATCTGGGGAGGGACAGACAAGCTGCTGAGTCTGCTCAGCCATTGGCTGAGTGGGTGGAGAACACCTCCTCTGAGGTGAAGCAGGCCTGTCTTTGCAGCTGTGTGATCTTGAGCAAGTTCTTTGACCTGAGTCTCAGTTTCCTGATCTGACAAGATGGGCCAATAGAGTGATAGAACTGTGTGGAAACCAACACCGAGAAAAGTGCAGGGAGAGTGCCGGCCACACTGGAATGATTTGCTGTGGGACAACAGGTTCTGTTGTCTTAGTGCAGAGGGTGAGCTTGAGGGGCAAGGGATGCCCAGCCGTGGAGACCAGGGTTGGGTGGGATAGGGCTGGATAAGCAGCCTTTTGGGACTGACCATTTCCCCGTCACTGGCCGTGTGTTGCAGGTGGTAGCTGCGTACCCCTTTGCGGCCAGGAGCACGCATGAAGTGAGCCTGCAGCCGGGCCAGGCCGTGACCATCCTGGAGGCCCGTGACAAGAAGGGCAACCCTGAGTGGAGCCTGGTGGAAGTGAACGGACAGAGGGGATACGTGCCTTCTGGCTTCCTGGCCAGGGTCCCGAGCCCTGCCCCGTGGGGCTGGACTCTGCCCTCGTAGGGGGCCTTCCCTGGCAGCATCCACATTGCCAAGGCGTGGGAGGGGCTTAGAGGCTGTGACCCTGTTAGGAAATGAAGCAAAGAAAGTGCAGGAGTGGCAGAGGGGATCAGGCCCAGTGAGTGGAGGCGCCTAGCGTGGGTGGTCCTGAGCACTCATTATGTCTGCGTAAGAAAGCCTTTGTACCCTAAGGTCCCAGCTAATTGGCCAGGACTTGCCATAGCTTGTAACCAGTCTTACCTGTGCCTCTGTCTGGGCCTGGCCATGAGATGGGATCGCTCAGGTGGCTGTCACCTGGGTGCCGTGTGGTTTCAGGAAAGGGGCTGGAGAAGCGCAGGACTGTCTGGCCTTACTGTGCACTTGCTGCGCGTGGGATCTGGGGACACCCGGGCTGGCCAGTCAGCTTTTTTTTCTTCATGCTGGGGGCTGAGTTATCTTGGACAGCGAACCCTGAGAGCCCTTTCAGTGGCAGTGGAGAGGTTCCCTGGAGACTCTTGCCTGGGCCTGGGAGTGAGTGTGACCCAGTCACAGCTGTGGAATGTGTAGGCAAATTCCCAGGGGACTCCAGGGCGCAGGGGATTTTGATGGTGCGTTAGGTAAGGCATATAATGCTGCCGGCAGCGGTTGTAGCATGCCACCGTTTTCCCTGGAGTAGGAGTATGCAAATCAGTGCAGAAACGCTTGATTGCAAGCTGGTGGGTGGGGAGGTGAGGTACTGGCACGGTTTCCTGTTTCTGGATAAAAGAGCCGGGCCACCCTGTGGGTTCAGGTTGCCTCTCAGGGCCTGGAGGCAGCAGGAAGCCTGCGGTCAGTTGGCTGTGACCTTTGACACAGGACATTCCAATTCTCCCATCCAGGCTGTGAGACTGGCATGAGGCTAAGGGTGCAGAGGCTCCTTGGAAACCATAAAATGTGACACCAGGGTCAGCGCCATCAGTGGTGTCAGGATGGCCCTGTCCATCAGCTGACCTGGACCGGCAGGTGGAAGCATCATGCTGCCAACCCTCGTGCCTATACCCATGGCAGCAAACAGTCCATTGACATGTGTTCTTGTCCTTAAATCCGGGCTCTACTCGGGGTCTTTCTCAATGTGTTCAGCATGGATTAACAATAAGAATACATTCTCAGACACGATTGTTAAGAGATTGTGCTGTGGGACTGCCACAGACTGTACTCGTACAAACTAGCCAGGCTACGATACCACTAATGATATAATATTATGGGGCCTCTGACAGACATGCTGTTTGTAGGTGATCGTATACAGCATGTGACTGTACTACATTCTAGGTGGCCGATCTCTTGAACTCTGAGTCACCCCTTTCTCAAACCTGGAAACCGCAGTGCCTCAGACACTAGGTCCCGTCCCAGGAAGACTGGCCGCTGGGGCAGCCCTGGGTACGGAGCTGGGCCACGGGACATTGCAGGCTTCTCAGAAAGGGGAAAATGTGATGCGCTGGAATCTTCATGCTGTCTTTGCATGTTTGGAGCCGTCCCTCGTGAGAATGTGTGTGGAACAGGTGGCAATTTAGATTTATTTACAAGAACGTCTGTTACAACTAGAGTGCCTAACACTGTTAGCACTGGTGTCTGAAGGGCTCTTGAGGAAAGCATACTTGTCTGTGTCAGACAATCTATGATATGCCTCCCCTTGGCTTGTTAAAGCATGAACACCCTGCATAAAGCCAGGGAACCTCAGTCGCCACAATCCCTTCCCCAGCCCTATGTTCACTGTACAAGATGCTCTTGGTGCATCTTCTTTTCTTTGCTGCTCAGATTTCTGGTAAAAATAGGGATCACAGGGAATATATTACAAAGTATGACAAGCATTTGTGGGTTATACGGATTCTTACAGGGAGCCCACTGTGTGCCGGGATCCTGGTTCAGGGCTTCTCGGCCTGGCTGCTCACTGCATTTGCCTGGGAATCTTTAAACTATGATGCAAGCCAGAAGCCACCCAGACAGGCCCCTGGGGTGACCTGGGGTGGCCTGGGCTTTACTCTTCAGGAAGCTCCCCAGGTGTGGAGAACGTGCAGCCAGGCCAAGGACCTCTGCCTTAGATGCGCATGGTGGACAAATAGACCTGCGGTCAGAGATAAGAAGGGATAAACTAAGATGTGCCCCTTCTGAGCTTTGTACAGGCTGTTTAAACAGGCAGCATTTGTGGTAGTTTGAAACAGGACAGCCTGTTCTGTCAGGTCCCAGAATGTATATTTATTAAGTGCCATTAAAATGGACCTGAACAAAATTGGATGTTCTCATAGGCATAAGGGAGAAAAATGAAATCGGTGTGGAACCAAGGCTATCTCATGAAGGGAAAATAAAAATGCATTCTGTAGCATGTGGGTTATGGTTTCTCATAGACCTGGGGATGAGATTAAAAGTCAGTGAAGAGTGAGAAAATGTGTATTGGAAAGATGGAGAATGGCCTGCATTTTCTCCAGGGGACTCTGTGTAATGTGCCTTTTTACCCCCAGATGCCTAGAACCGTTGTACTGTACCTCATTTATTTTCCTGTTGGGCGGTCACAGACTAACTGGCTGAGATACTCACCTAAGAGCTGAACAAGACTTCCAAGAGGGGAAGCCTGGTTCACAAGGGCACCCTGGCCCTCTGCAGCAGAGTGAGGTGTCTTTAACCCTCTGGGCTCCAACTCAGTTTTGGATGCGAGGGCATAATTGCAATGTCTGGGGAAAGATGAATGGATTACTTGGTTGATACCATGAACACTAGCTCTAATGAGTAACTAATGTGAACTGCTGGGAATAAAGAGCTTCAAAGATAACAATGTCTCTGGAATTCGTATGACTTTCACCTTTGGGCACTTAGCTGTCCCACATACCATTTGTTCCCTGGACACTTGCTTTATATAAAAGTGGCACTTGGTCATCAATGTGTTCATTTAATTGTCTACATTTTTGCTTCCAATAATTGAATTTAGCAGCTGAGAACACAGGAAAGAATCAAATAGATGGGGCCTGACCTTCCAGGGCCTATGGTTGGGAAAGGGCACTAGCTCCGTGATTGTTTGGGTTAGAATAAGGCAGTGACAGGTTCCCAGGAAGGGGACAACCCAGCAGCCAAGGAAGACTTCTGAGAAGAAGTGATACCCCGCTGAAGGCCAGGGAGTGCAGGGGTTCAGTGAAGGTGATCAGGTAGCACATGCAAAGGCCGGAGGCGACAAGCAAGGGTGGTGTGTCTGAGAACAGAAAGGCTGTAGAGCCAGAACCCAGGGGTGCCGGGTTGCTGGTAGGGACAGGGAGAGGTGAGTTAGCAGGTCAGTGATAGAAGGCTCTGGGTTTATTCTGAGGGAACCAGTACAGACTGGAAGCAGAGGAGCAGCACGCTTGGGATTGTGCAACTGGCTGTGTGCCTGATGTAGCCATAGGCAGCTGTACACTCCTCCAGTACCGGAAGCTCTAATTCATTTCAGAATCTCCCCAAGCCTCTGTCAGGTGCCGCAAACAATAGATATTTCTCAGATAAATATCACAAGCAGTGGGGGAACGCCAAAGCCCTTCTTTCATGCACTCTCCAGGCTGGCTGCAGATGTGCAAGCCTCAAGCAATTTTCTGGCCCTATGGGCACAATGCCATCTGCACCAGGAGGGGGCGATGGAGCTTTGTAAGGGCTCAGACTGGGAGAGATGTGGGAAGGCTGAGGGGGTCACAGAGGCTTCTTGGAGGGGGCGGGCCTGGTGCTGGGCCTTGCGGGATAGGTAGGATGGGGAAACAAAAAACAGAGGGGCTTCTCATGCCTAGGCAGGCAGTGGTGCTATAAAAAGTGCCCAGCACTTGGCCTTAGAAAACCTGGGTCAAGGCCCACCTGACCACAGGTAACAGGTGCACTTCTCATGGCTGCCATGTGTGGCCTGAAGGCTGCTTGTCCTCCGCCACCAGGCCCCAAAAGTACTCACTGCAGAGTTCTGGTTTATCTTAAGGGGTCCTTGGGTCCCCCCATCAGGACCAAACTTCTAACACAGAAGTGTCATTTTGGGAACTGTGGTGGCAAAACAGAGCCTAAAACACTCTGAACTAGGAGTAGGGAAGGAGTTGGATTTCATTGGCAATAGCATGGAGACTGGGATCCTGAACAGTCTGTTCACTTAACCTTGTTCATTTGTGCCTTTCCTTCCTTCCTTCCTTCTTTCCTTCCTTCCTTCCTTCCTTCCTTCCTTCCTTCCTTCCTTCCTTCCCTCTCTTCCTCCCTCCCTCCATCCCTTCCATCCCTTCTTCCCTTCTTTCTTTCTTTCTTTCCTTCTTTCTTTTTTCTTTCTTCTTTCTCATTCTCTTTCTCTCTCTCTCTCTCTCTCTCTCTCTCTTTCTCTCTTGCTATGATAGGGGTTGACCCCAGGACATTTGCACTGAGCCATATCATTAGCTCTCTAAAAACATTATTTAAAAAAATTTTTGAGACAGAATTTTGCCAAGTCACTAAATTGCTAAGGCTGGGCTTGAACTTTTGATCCTCTGACCTGAGACTCCCAGTCATCTGTTCTCTTACTGGTAATCTGTGAACTTACCATTCCTGTTTTCTCATCTGTAGAGTGGGTCAATAATTCCTTTTCTCACAGCGTCGTTAAGGATTAAATGAGGCAATGGGTGAAAGCGGTTGTGGATTGTACCAGCAGTGTTCCTGACCTACGCACATCAGTGGAACGTGTGTCTGTGACCACCAGGCGGCAGCAGCGCTCTTCCAGCCCTCCAGAGAGGGCTGGGAAGATCTGGGATCAAATTGAAAAGCCCTGGAGGAAGAAACACCAAGTGAGAGACCCTGGGGGCGCTGCGCTGGACCAGAGCCCACCTCCCCTGACCACTAAGGAGCTGCAGCGTCCTGGCTCCAGCCAGCTACCACCACGTCTGAACGTGTGCCCAGCAGTAAATCAGACATTCTGATTTTTCCAGAGAAGCCAGAAACCAGGGGTTTGGTTTTGTTTTATGAAATCTGTGTGGACATTGTGTGATCTACAACAGGCCCCTCTTTGCATCAGTGTAAGGTGACTGTCCCCTGTGAGAAGCTCTGAAGAAGCTTTATCTATGCTGAGGAATGCCTTCATGTATCCTCGTTACTTTATCAGCATTAATGGCTTTCCTTAGATCTCTGGGAAACGTTGTTTCCTTTTATGTTACTGTTCCTGTTACATTATTTCAAACTTCTGTTAGAGAGTGAGTTGTATTTTCTCACCTGTCAGTGCAGTGTGGCCCCCCCAGTGCCCGTCTCCTGAGATCCTTTAGAGCAGTAAGTTAGATATTGATGTAAATCACTTAGCCCTGCACCCAGCTCATTAATGCTCCGTAAGCATAGTGATCCTTCTTATGGGGACTTCAGAAGACGTGCAGGAGAGGTGAAGGGCTTATAGCCCTGTACCACCCTGCACGTGAGATGGTGACAAGACCTGGCCACCTCCCTGCGTGGGAGCCCCTGGTCTTGTGTGCCTGCCCTCAGTCTCAGGGACCTGGGCACTGCTGGGGCCTGAGTGGAAGCTGAGGTCTACGCAGCAGCTGCAGGTATGAGACAGCCCTGAGCCCTGGGCCAGCTGGGCCAAAGGCAGCACAGGAGTTGCGGCCATCTCTCCTTTGCAGCTCCTTCTCTGGAGGGATTTTGCTTGCTCTTTTTCACATTCCTGCCATTTTGCTCTGCTCCACACTGCAGGAAACGGCATTTCCCAGGCTGCCGTGGCTTCTGGTGGCCTGGTAGGTGGGATCCATAGGAGACACTGGCCGCGGGAGAAGCAAAGATAGTTTCCTCCCTGTCTGCTTCAAGTAGCATTCCGCCAGGGGCAAGCGTCCTGTGGCCCCAGCTCCCTGGATGGCCCTCCCGTATGGCCCCAGTGCTGACGGACAGAACTGGCTGTACTTTCAGAGCCTGCTTGGTGGCCCTAGATGCTGAACACCAGTAACAGTGCCTCCGCCCTCTATGTCTCCAGCCCAAGGACTGTAATGTCTCTTTGCTATTGATAATCTCTGGGGTCCTCCTCAGATCTTCCTTCACTCGTTTAACCCATTCCTTATATTCAGTTCCTCTCTTCAAAAGCATGGACTGGTTTCTGCTTTCTGTTCGCACAGTAGCTGCTATTCCATGCAGGAGCCTGGGGTGCAGGGAAGGGCTGGGTCCTGCCCCTCAGGCTGCCCAGCCTTCACAGAGGACTGGTTTGTCTGCACAGTCCCTGGTCAGGGGACTGTCTGCCCTCCCCACACAGAGCTCTTGAAAGTGTCTGCAGCCACAGACAGCGGAGTGGTCCAGACAGGCATGGAGGAACTCCAAGACCACTGGGAAGAACAGAGCTTTGGGCAAGAGCCAGGCTCTAAAGCCATGGAGGAGGAGGAGGAGAGGTGGGGAGTGATTTTCCTGTCGTGGTATCTGAAAAATATCTACCTCTGGCCCCGCCTCGTAAAGGGCAGCAAGCCCCAAGCCTGGGAGACAAGAAGTGGAGTGGGGCTTCTAGCCAGAGAGAGGCTTTCTTGATTCTGGGGTCTCAGGGCTCTGAGAACCATCAGCAGAACCTGCGGTGTGGGACTAGACCAGCATGTTGATAGCACTAACCACGGCTTTTCTTTGCTACTCACAGGGCTGCTGGAGGGTTACGTGAGAGAATTCACTTTGCATGATTAATTCACAGCTAGCACATAGGGAGCTCTCAAGAGCTACAAGCTCAGAAAAAAAAAAAATCAAACTCAATCCTCAACCTTAGCAGCCTTTGTGGATCTCTTTCAGTAGGCATCTCAGGAGACGACTAATTGGTACTGTGCCCTAGCGAAGAGGTCTGGGGACACATATCCAATTGCCAGGGCTGGAAGGGGCCAAATCAGGTGAAGGATCAGTGGTGGTGGGGCATCATGAACTCTGAGTACTGTCCCCAAGGGTAAAGGGGGAGGCGGAGGAGTCTAGCAGGTGGGCAGAGCCCCACAGAGACACTTGGGGACTGGCCTCACCTAGCATCCAGGGGGGACAAAGTTCAAAGCCCTGTCAGAGTATGGACAGCAGAAGTCAGTCTTTGGCTGGAGTTCAAATACAAGTCTCTGGGGACTCAGGCCTCTTAAAGACACAGAGGTCATGGCCGGAAGCAGGATTGAGAACTGGATTCAAGGGTGGGGTTCAGCTCTAAGTGAAAGGGACTTTGTCCTGGGCCCTAGGGAGACCTGAGAGAGCGTCTAGGGATCAAGTAGTCGGGGCAGTCAACTGCAAGATGCTTGAGTTCAAATCCTGACCCCACATCTACCAGCTGTGTGACCTATGTGAAACAAGTTACTTAGTTCTCTCTAAAACCTCACTTTCCTCTTTGTGGGAAAACCAGGAAACAATCCTCCCCAAAGAGTTGTTGGGATGTTGACATGGCATAAAACATGGAGCGCACTAGGCACTGGATCTTGTAGGTGTAAGAGCTCAGTAAATAATTGATCCTTAGCCATACAAACCAGTTGTGTCTGCAGTCCTCCTGCTAAACTTTGTAGCTTCCCCGTGATCCCTTGAGGCCCACGTGTTCTGTTCTCTGCACTAACACTCCAGCCTTTTGCCCAGTGCTTGTGTACCTGATCCCTCTCCGCCTGCAGTCTGAAATACCCTACCCTGTGTAAAGAGTGCTTTCAAAACCAAAGGCACGTAGATAGTTTCAGCGGTCAAAGGTTCCTCCCCTGGGAACGGAACACTGACCATGTCCTCAGATACTCTTTGGTGATTAGAGCCAAACATTTTATGATTAATTTTTTTTTGTACCATGAATTGAACTCAGGACCTCGTACTTGCCAGGCAGGCGCTTGTGCTGCTGAGCTATATCCCTGACAGAGTCAGCCATCTTGAAATACTCCTGCCTCTCAGAAGCTTCTCCAGACTGCTGAGGCAGCAGTTGTAGACAGACTTGCTGGTATGGTGGTGGGTGGTTTTAGGGGTACTTCTTTCTACTTTTAAATTTTTAAAAAATTTCTGAATGTTTTTATTTCAAATTCCTTTCACCTTTTCCCCTCAAAAAGTATGGGTCAGAACAACAGCCATAAAATATATAGAGAGAGACACACACACAGAGGAAAATCTTAATACCCATCCCTTTCCCATTCACACACTCCCTACCCCATCTCCCAGGCCAGAGATTCCAAGGTGTGGCGCTTCTCCTATGAGACATGTGTCCCTCAGCCCATTTTGCGAATCACAGCCAAAAGCACTTTCTCTCCATTTACTCTCTGTAGTTTGTGTTGTAAAGATAATATGCTTTTTGTTTTTCTTAACATATTTTAAAATAGCTGTATGGGCCGGGGATATAGCTCAGCGGCACAAGTACCTGCCTGGCAAACGCAAGATCCTGAGTTTGATTCCCGGTACCAAAAAAATAAAATAAAATAAAATAGCTGTAATACTTTATTTTTAACGAAATTGGACCCTGAATTTGAATTGTATCACTTCCTCCCTCAAAAGTCTCTCTCGCTTTCTTAGACCGCTAGCAGGTGCAACATCAACAAATATTTCACCCTCAGGCAGGACCCCACAGTTACTCTTCCTGGTCTTTCTCCCTTCATAAACTGTCTGAGCCCACATCACGGGACACGCCCCCTCAGACACGCCCACGGGACACGCCCACAGACACGCCCGCGGTTCCCGGCTTCCTTTCATCACTTCATGTCCATCCCTTCAGAACCTACTGAACCCTGACCCGCTCCCCTCCACTTCTGCCCCTCCAGGGCCTCTGCCACCGCCCGTCCCAGCTGGCCCGGGCCCTGCAGTGGCCTCCTGGTGCTCCCTGTTCCCACTCTACCTTTCACCCTCAACCCACTCTCTAGAGCCACCCAAGTGAGAGAGTGTGTGAGAGAATGTCTCTGCTCTGCTTACGACCGAGCAAACCCAAACTTCTTACTGTAATCTGGAAGGTCCAGTGGCAGGCCCTACTATCCCACCTCAGCTGGTTCCACCAACCCCCAGCCTTACTCTTGCGCTGTCTCTGCTTTTTCATCCCTGCAAGCCCAGTCCCAGCACAGGGCCTTTGCATGCGCTGTCCTTTCCCTGGCACACTCCTTCCCAGAGCTGCCTGCAGTGGGCTTGCCTTCAAGTCAGCTCCTCAGTGACACCTTCAGTGACTGCTCATCCAAGTGGTCTCCAGTCTTCCCCCCTCCCCCTCCTCACCCCCTCTGGTTTCCCCTGTCTTATTTTCATTCTAGAACTGATCACTCCACATTTTCTGGTTGACTTATGTCTTTGTTTATCGTCTGATCCACTCACTAGAAAGTAAGTTCCTCGAAGTAGGGACTTCATTCATCTTATTACATACTGAAATTAAAATAACTAGACAGACTTATACCAAAACTTATTTATCAGAAGTTCAGATTTAACTAGATGTCTTGTGTTTTATCTGGCAAACTGTCTTGAGGCCCATGGTCCCTCATCTTAGGGGCACAGACCCAAGACAGTGGAACTGGCTTGTGAAGAAAAAGAGAGAGGAGAGACAATAATGTAGGAGACAGTGACACAGAGAGACAGGGTGAGACAGCCAAAGAGAATGAGAGGAATGCGTGTGAGTGACACAATGCAAGGCAGATACGGAAAGAAGAAGGACTGGTACTAGGGTGAGAGAAAGTGAATGGGGGAAGGAGGGACCCAGACCGAGACGCAGAGATCACGAGAGACCATGAGTCACAGGCTCACAGGCACCTTCTGGCAGCCGTGCCCCATAGTTCAGTGACCAAGGTCAGCTCCACCCCTGTCTTTTCTGTGGCTTGTTTCTAAGCACCAATAAATTCCCCTTTTGCTTGAAACCAATAACGCTTTCTGAGGATTTGTGAGCGCCAGCCCCTGGGGCTGAGTGCCTCTGTGCACGATTTTGTTTTTGTCATTACCTTAGGACAGTTCTGAAAACGTTACTGTCATCTCCTCTGCGGAGGAGGAGCTGAGGAGTGGTGAACTTAAATAGCATGGCCAAGGTCATGGGGACACCAAGAGGCAGACGGGGATTTCAACCCAGACGTTTCTACGATGAATGTGATTATGGATATATAAAATGTACCAATAAAGTCTGATTTTAAAAATGGGTGTTTTTGTTTGGCCGTCGTATAGGGCCACTTCCTGCATGGCAGTTGGGTGAGGATCAGCAGAAAGAATAGCTCGACACTGGGCTGCTGATTGCCGACGCTCAAGAGGCGAATGGCACCGTAGGTGGGCATGGAAGGCAGACCACCCGGGGTCAAATCCAGGTCCTCCTTGCCCACAGTGTGACTTTGGGAATGCTCCTCTCCTTCTCCAAGCCTCGGCTTCCTCTTCTACAGAACGGAATAACATTCACTCCCCAAGGTTGACATGTAGAATAAATATCACAGAAAGAGAGACAGAGACACAGAGAAAAACAAAGATCAACATATTTACAGATATGTTATTATTTTCTGCTCATCCCTGATATCCAGAACTGAATCTGAATTAAAGCAAGATGTCAGGTTTCCTTGGAGGTGGTAAGGAGACTATAGAATAGTAGCTAGAATCCAAGTGACCATTTATTTAACACCTACTGTGTACCACGCATTGTGGTAAGCACCTTACATACATCTCAATCTCCATGACAGCCCTGTTGTGTATGTATTGCTCTTCCCATTTTACAGAACAGAATACTGAAGCTCAAGTCTATAAAGTGAGTAGAAAGGCCACAGAAAGAGGCCCAGAACTGGGATCTTAACTCTGGTTCATAAGAAAAGGCCCCTAGCACTGTAATTACATTTCCTAATGAAGCCAGCACACCAACTGATTGCACTGAGATGTTTTCCTGTGGGCTGAGCTTTCCTGTGAGCTTTGTTACTATCTTTCTCCCAGTTTCTGCATGTCCCTGTAGATCCTCTGTGTGCACCCTTTTCTAGGCACTGCCTTGATAGGTGGGTGTAAACAATGCCATTCTTTTTTTTTTTTTTTTTTTTCTGAGACAGGGTCTTGCTATATAGTCCAGGCTGGCCTTGAACTCGCAACAATCCTCCTGCCTCAGCCTCCCAAGTGCTGGCATTATAGGCATGCACCACCACCACACTCAGCCAAGAGTGCTACTCTTTGATGGGGGTCTAGAGGCCCAGGGACTTGCTGACAACCACACAGGAGGTGAGAACAGAGCAGGTTTTGAACTTGGTTTGGTCTGGCTCCAAGTGCAGGCTCTGTCCGAGGCACCTAACTGTCTGACCCCTCAGGTGCCCCTGAAGAGCGTGGTGACACACAGTTCCCAGCTCCACCACTATTTATGGTTCCCCACTGCCAAAGGTCACCCTGGCTTTGGCAAGCATCCTGTCTGATCCCACCCAGCCCTCCTGCATTCCTCCCCGTTCTCACACCACCACAGATGGGCCTCAGACCCACAGTCTTTACTCTGTGACTTCTTCCAGGGCTCTTGACCAGACTGACATGGTCTGGCCCTGTTTATTCTGCCACGTCCTTGAGCTCTGCACCCTTGCTGAGCAGTTTCTGCATCGCTCCCTCTGGTTGTTCTGCACCTGCTCTTTCATCAGGGGGAACCCCTTCATTTCTGGGTTCCTGTCACTTCCTCCAAGAAGTCTTCCTCGCTTGGCTGAGGGTCTCTTCCTTTGGATGCATCTATTCAGGTCCTTCTCACTGATTGAGCCCACGAGGGGCAGAGCTGGGTGTGTGCTGTGCACGCTGCATCTCCAGAGCCTGGCTCTATGTCTGGGCCATGGGAAGTGCTAGGGGAAAAGCTGCTGAGTAAATGAACAGATGCGCAAGTGCTCTGCCATCATCACCATCATCCCTGCATTTAGCATCGAGCTCTATTTGTCGCACATAGTAGGCTTCCAATCATACCCACAAGGGCCAGTGGAAGAACAAAGAAATTCTGAGGCTCTAGCCCCCTTCCGACCCGCATCTGCCCACCCCTGGCTCTGCAGCCTCCGCCAGCTGCAGCGTTCTCTTGCAGAGGAAAAGCGTTCTGGCCCCTGGCTTGACTGCCGTGGGTTCCCACTGGGAAGAAACAGACTCCTCCTTCCACACCTAGGATTTTAGGGGAGACAGGCTTTTCTTGCTGGTGTTGGGAGGAGGGAGAGTTGAGGCCTCGGCCATGTTTCAGCCTGGCCTCAATTGGCCCTGAACTGATTAATAAAGTGTGAAATTGACTTCATCCTCCACCACGTCTCCCCAGCCAGCATGTCCCTGTAGCATCTCCCTGGCTACGGTGGCTGCAGCGCTACCGCCATCCTCTCCGTCACTGGCAGACAGGAGCGTCATCAACGCCCACGCAGCCCCAGGGCCCAGCGATTCTGCAGAGCGCACGATGGTATCTGGCCAGGGGCCAGGCAAAGCGGTGGACGCCAGAAGCATCCACTATGCGTGTCTGATGCACCGTAGTCCAAGCTGGCCGCTGGCTGTTCCTGCCCATTTAGTGCTCTGGCACTGACTCCTCAGCAGGGAGGGCTAAAGACAGCAAGGCATTGGGTGACTTGCTGAGCCTCACCCCCACCACTACACCCCGTGGGCTGAAGAATCAGAGCCACAGGGGCCTCCCAGAGCAGTGTGATCCCAGAGGTGGGTAAAGGGGTGGTCGTTAGGGTGCCTTGGGGGCTGCTTGAGAGACAGTGGGAAGCTCCCAACCCGTCTTTCCACTCGGACAGAGCCATTTTGGATGTTTTTGTTTCTTCTCTCCTGTTTAGGGTTTCCCTGGGAGAAAGGGGTCCCTACATCCTTAAAGCCCGTGATGCACCTAGCGGTCATTCCCAGTCCTGCCTGTGACTCACAAGTGCTCGGTGGTGGCATTAGATGCAGATGCTGAGCCTTGTAGCACGTTTGTCTGCTCGGCCCCCTTTTCTTCCTCCTCTGGGGAGAGCCCCATGCTCCCCTAGGAAGCCTCTGCTCCACACACTGCCCATGTGGTTTGAGGGGAGCCCAATTTGATCCCCTGAAACTCCAGGGCCAAGCAGGTCCTAGGCCTGGTCAGTCACAGATAGAGGGATCATCCCAGGCCCACAGCCAGGCTGGGGTGCAGCCCCCAGGATGTGTCAGAGGGAGAGAAGCTCTTTTCTCTTAGCGGCCCCAGGCTGGCAGCTTTCACCTGGAACTACTGGCTGAGAAGGAAGCCAAGACAGAGCAAATCAGGACAAGGGGTGAGGTGGAGGTGGGGAAGAGAAAGACAGAAACAGACACACAGAGAGATGGAGGCAGGCAGGCAGGCGGCACTTGGCGAGACTCAGCCTCAAAATAAAAAACTAAAGGGGGCCTGGGGACGTAGCTCAGTGGAAAGTTGTCTGCCTAGCACATGTGTTTAAACTCCAGTATTACTAAAATCA